CAGTTGTATACAATCTGCTCAAGAATGTAAGCAACTTTGTATAACTGTACATTTGTTTCAGTTTTTGAAAATACATTGTGAGTAAATATTTGCATACACTTACAGATGAGGTTATATAACTTTTCATTGCTTTCTTTTACTGTACATATCTAAATGTTACGAATAAATACAAATTGTAAAATTTCTAATGTTACATCAATTGCTTTTACATTACCTCAATTTAGACAGTTAGAAAAACACAAGCTCAGTAGGCCTATTTACAATCTGTTCAAGAATGTAAGCGACTTTGTATAACTGTACATTTGTTTCAGTTTTTGAAAATACATTGTGAGTAAATATTTGCATACACTTACAGATGAGGTTATATAACTTTTCATTGCTTTCTTTTACTGTACATATCTAAATGTTACGAATAAATACAAATTGTAAAATTTCTAATGTTACATCAATTGCTTTTACATTACCTCAATTTAGACAGTTAGAAAAACACAAGCTCAGTAGGCCTATTTAGTAGACCTACAAAGTACCAATCTAACTATAACTGATATTACTACACTAATATTTCAGCTACCATAAATTACATATATATCTATATATTTACTCATAAGTGATTAAATTTTAGTTATTTTTCTTAAAACACAGAATAATAAATGAAAATTACATAGAAAACAATGATTTCTAGTACTCACGTGAAGTTATAGTGATAAGGATATATTTTGCCCTTGTGTGCCTTTATTGCTAAGCCTCTATTTTTTTCAAGTGGAGGGTAAAGGAGTATAATTTTTGTAGGCTTCAAATATACATTTTAGAAATTGAAAAAAATTAAATTACTCTACTAGTTCACCCAAAACATCTGTAACTTTCTTAGATTTATAAATAAAATATGTATGTGTTAAAAAAATTCAATACCCACTTGGTGCAACAACTTGGTCATCACAATTCAACAGTCTTGACGAAATTATTGTTTTCTCTTCAAAGCTCTTTACAAACAACTGTCAGAATCACATGAAGTACAACTTGTAAAACTCTATTGGTTATAAAAACACCCTTAAGAAAAGCAGGTGGAACTAAACAAGAGGTTTGGAAAGAATGGAATAGGAGGAGGCATGACTTTAGTTGGTTTGCTAGATTCATTGATTTCTCAGCAAATCAAAGTGGTGGGAGGCTCTAAATTTATATTCTAGCTTGCTAGTATCTAAAATTCATGTTTCTAATTTGTTACTCAAATGTAGATGTATATAGTAGGTGTAAGAAATATATAAACAGAGCAACAAGACATGAGAAGGTCCTATGTGACACACACAAATCGATATTTGGCTTTATATATATATATATATATATATATACATT